ATGCTGCGGCGCGGGGGAACTCCAGCCTCAGCGAGGCCTTCACCCGTGTGCTGCAGCAGGAGGTGCCCCGCCATTTCGGAGTTACCACGGGGGTGGCTCTTGTTGACACCCAGTCGTTCTACGGCTCCATCGAGTGGCCGACGCTCGCCCCCAGCGCGCTGGCGCTGGATTTCCCGCCGCAGACCCTGTACCTCGAGCTGTTGCAATGCGTGGCGGCTCGGACGCCGGGCCTGCTTGGCGCCGCGACCAGGGCCTCTCGGCCCACGCGGAGCGTCGTCAAAGGCCTGCGGGCGGGGACGCGCTTCGCCAAGGCGATGACCCACTACGCGCTGGCGACCACAACGGTTGCAAATCCGCGGCTTGGGCAGCGCGCGAAGATCGGCGACCTGTCACAGCCTGCCCGGGGGTTGCGAGCCGCCGTAAGGAAGGACTTGGCTGCGTGTGTGGTTGACGCATGTGAGCAGTTGAGTGCCAAGCCTAAGTCAGTAATCGTGATTTTGTCGCTCCAGGATGCTAAGTGGGTGGCGAAGCGTGCGAGGCTTGCTGGTAATTCCACTCAGCCAGCCAAGCAGGCCGCTTACCTCGGGGTCGACATGGGCGGGAGGGTGAGGATGTCGCGCGAGAGCAGAGTCAAGGGGGATGCGGAACAGAAGTCCATGAGTGGCAAAGTGCGGAGATCCGCAATTGCGTCGAAGAAGTATCGCGTCACGGGGAGAGAGCAGGTGGGGGGCCAGGCAGCGGGGGGGCACGGGCATCAGGCCCATGGCGCCTCCAGAGCCAGGACGACCCTGGCTCGACGCCGCTTGGGCCAGGCACTGGCCGCGCCCACGCGCGGACGCTGCCTGACCACGCTGCTAGCGCTGTGGGCGGGGGACATGGATCCCGCGATCAAGCTGCCAGTTGAGGCGCTCGACCTGTGGCTACGCACTTCGAGGGAGCAACCAGGGCTGCGACCAGGGGCACGGCAAGCGTGGGACAGGGTGCACCGACGCATGCTGGAGCCCCCATGCAGCGCAGCGCATGCGTCATGCGCGGGGGCCCCTCGCTGCCACAGCCCTGCCCCTGTCGGAGGCAGGCTGGGACCCGCAGCAGGCTACATCGCGCCCCCCCCCCCCCCGCCCCCCCCCCGCCAGTCGCCCAGCAGCGGGGGACATGTGGAAGTTCGACGACGACACGTGCACAGGGCTCGCAGCGCTGGACTCGCACCCGGGCTTCATGGCGGATTTCAAGCAGACTTTGAGGCGCGCCCTGTGGCAGAGGGCCAGCCAGCATGTCAGCGGCACTGGGAGCGCGGCGTCGACTGCACCTCGTGCCAGATCCTGCTGCAGCAGTTGGCAGTGCTTGAGCTTCGAGGCCAGCACCAGAGGGTCATGGGGAGGGCGCAGCGCAGGGCAGCACAGGATAGCACCAATGAGTTTAAGGATCTCATGGTGGAAGATGGGGCGGTTGGAACTCTACAGAGGGCCCTTCAGCCACAGAGTTTGCCAAGCTTCGTTCTGGAACAAGGAGATGATGTTCTCTTCCGCCCGCGTGATATAATCGACCACGAAGCGAGGATATGGCACGACTTGCGGGCACCAGCCGCCTTGAACGAATGCGAAATCTCTCGGGCCTTCGCCCAGAATCAAGCCGCTGCTGATGGCGAGCCGTTGCATGATATGTCTGCCGTAGAGATACGGTCGGCCCTTCGCAAGATGAGAGGGGCGGGCGGGCCTCGGAGTCGACGTGCTCAGCCCGCTCGACGTCGAGCGCCTCCCAGACGAGGCGCTGGCCGAGTTGGCGTTGTTGTTTCAGGCGTGCGAGTGCCATCTCATGTGGCCTGGCCAAGTGTTGTTGATTGCAGGGCGCATGTTGCCAAACAACTGGAATGGGGATCGGTTTGTCGGCCTGGCGTCGATGGCGGGGAGGTTGTGGAGCCTCATGCGCGAACCTTATGTGCGCAGCTGGTCCTCGGCAGCCATGAGGCACTGGGATGCTGCGGCGCGGGGGAACTCCAGCCTCCGCGAGGCCTTCACCCGTGTGCTGCAGCAGGAGGTGCCCCACCACCTCGGAGTTACCACGGGGGTGGCTCTTGTTGACACCCAGTCGTTCTACGGCTCCATCGAGTGGCCGACGCTCGCCCCCAGCGCGCTGGCGCTGGAGCTCCCGCCGCAGACCCTGTATCTCGAGCTGTTGCAATGCGTGGCGGCTCGGACGCCGGGCCTGCTTGGCGCCGCGACCAGGGCCTCTCAGCCCACGCGGAGCGTCGTCAAAGGCCTGCGGGCGGGGACGCGCTTCGCCAAGGCGATGACCCACTACGCGCTGGCGACCACAACGGTTGCAAATCCGCGGCTTGGGCAGCGCGCGAAGATCGGCGACCTGTCACAGCCTGCCCGGGGGTCGCGAGCCGCCGTAAGGAAGGACTTGGCTGCGTGTGTGGTTGACGCATGTGAGCAGTTGAGTGCCAAGCCTAAGTCAGTAATCGTGATTTTGTCGCTCCAGGATGCTAAGTGGGTGGCGAAGCGTGCGAGGCTTGCTGGCAATTCCACTCAGCCAGCCAAGCAGGCCGCTTACCTCGGGGTCGACATGGGCGGGGGGGTGAGGATGTCGCGCGAGAGCAGAGTCAAGGGGGATGCGGAACAGAAGTCCACGAGTGGCAAAGTGCGGAGATCCGCAATTGCGTCGAAGAAGTATCGCGCCACGGGGAGAGAGCAGGTGGGGGGCCAGGCAGCGGGGGGGCACGGGCATCAGGCCCATGGCGCCTCCAGAGCCAGGACGACCCTGGCTCGACGCCGCTTGGGCCAGGCACTGGCCGCGCCCACGCGCGGACGCTGCCTGACCACGCTGCTAGCGCTGTGGGCGGGGGACATGGATCCCGCGATCAAGCTGCCAGTTGAGGCGCTCGACCTGTGGCTACGCACTTGGAGGGAGCAACCAGAGCTGCGACCAGGGGCACGGCAAGCGTGGGACAGGGTGCACCGGCACATGCTGGAGCCCCCATGCAGCGCAGCGCATGCGTCATGCGCGGGGGCCCCTCGCTGCCACAGCCCTGCCCCTGTCGGATGCAGGCTGGGACCCGCAGCAGGCTACATCGCGCCCCCCCCCCGCCCCCCCCCCGCCAGTCGCCCAGCAGCGGGGGGCATGTGGAAGTTCGACGACGACGCGTGCACAGGGCTCGCAGCGCGGGACTCGCACCCGGGCTTCATGGCGGATTTCAAGCAGACGTTGAGGCGCGCCCTGTGGCAGAGGGCCAGCCAGCATGTCAGTGGCACTGGGGGCGCGGCGTCGACTGCACCTCGTGCCAGATCCTGCTGCCGCAGTTGGCGGCCGCCCCTGTCTATGGGCACGGGCTGCCAGAGGTCATGCTCGCATGCGCTGTTGGGGGGTGCTGGCCCCGACAGCGCACAACGGATGAGTTGCGCAGATACACGGGCGGGGTGGAGCGCCGTCGGCGTCGGGGGGCGCCAGGGTGCACGATGCGCCGCATACGGCTAGGTGAGTGCAATGAATGGAGTAGCGCGGACGATGAGTCGAATGTTTTGATCCCGCAGGCGATCGCCCAGGGCGAGGCCGACCAGGCCTTCTGGCTCGGAGGACTCATGCCAGCTCCTTAGACGGCAGCGTCAGCTCCCTGCGAGATCGACGCCTGGGTCGGCACGGAGGAGCTGGACGGGAAGCTGATCGCCGAGAGCTGCGTCGCAGGCGGCTCGGAGCAAGCCCCTCGGCTTGCCTTTGGCGGCGCGAGCGGGGGGCCTGACACCAGCAGTCCGCTCTTCCGACGCGTTGGCGTTGATTGTTTTCATGCGAGTTCTTGAGCCTGCGGTGCAGCCTGCCTCGACTGCGCGTGGCTCCTTGTCGGGACCTAGACAGATTGTTGCTCGAGGTGAGCTGCGAGCTTTGCTTTAAGCCGTGTGGGTGACCGCTGGATTCATGCCGTTCATTTCAGATTGCGAATCAGTCGCGTCAGGTTTTGATAGCCGCAAGTATGAAGCGCCCACAGGTGAGGGCGCTGACCTGCGGGCGCGCCTGGGGCTCATGATGAGAAAAAGGTCTCGCGATGCCAGCGCTGTCCTCTTTGTGATTTCTCACCTGTCTGCCACTGACATCGCGGAGGGGAGAGCCCCGCGGTGGACGGCGGCAGGCAACCTGATTGTCTATGAGATCGCTGGGCAGGCGGCCAGCGAAACCCGTTTCCCAGAGGCAATCCGCCAGCAAGCGTTGTTGCGCGAGAGAGTGGCCTGTCTTGTCAGGATGCGTATTCTTCGGGCCACTCTTGATTCCATGGCGGCTGAAGAGAAGGATCGGAGTGCTGCGGAGGAAAGAGGTCCTGCCTTCCCCGCCTCCCCCGCCCCCTGCTGCTGCCTCTCTCGCCCTTCTTGCTTCGTCTCATTCAGTGGACGGCACAGGGTGTAGATGCTACGGGTGCGGAGGCTCGGCGTCGATGGCGACGCGGGCAGCCTGGCCGAGGACCCGGAGCTTTTACCTGATCGATTACAATGGTGTCACTTTTCGGAAGCCCGAGGGCGCTATGTTGCACATCGCAAATGGGAATGTCCACCCCAGTCACAGAATAAAGGTTCCTGGTGATTCGAAGTTGTGGTATTGTGTCAGTTGCGGTAGCTATGGGTTCCTGCAACTCCTGGCCTTGGGACGTGAGTGCGTGACACCTTCCACTCCCTGCAGGGCCGAGTATTTGAGGCTAGTCTCCCAGGGTTCGTGGCCAAAGGTCCGGAGCAAAGCCGACAAGGCCACCAGGGGTAATCGCAGGGTTTAAGCGATGTGGTAAATTGATTGACTTCGTCATATGGTCACGCTCATGCTGGTACTCCTCTTCCCCCTCCCCCTCCTCCTCCCCCTCCTCCCCCTCCTCATCTATCTCCTCTCCCGCCTCCTCCTCCTCCTCCTCCTCCTCCTCCTCCTCCTCCTCCTCTGCCCCCCCCTCGTCCTCATCGCCCCCCCCCCCCCCCCCCCCCTCGCCCTCCCCCTCCTCCTGCCCCGCCTCCCCTCCGTTTGAATGGGAGGCGCCTCCGCGGGCGCCGCGTCTTCGGGCGCGTCCTCGACGGGGAGGCACGGCGGCGGCATGCCCATCCCGCGGAGGGGAGGGGCGGGGGGCTGGCGGGGGGTTGTCGGGATCCTCCCCGAATGCCGGAGTGGGGAGAAACCGGAGCGGCTGCCTCTCCTTCTCAGTGTGTGTTCACGTTCCGTCGTTTTCCCCTCCACGCCGTCCTCCCCCCTCCCTCCCCCCCGATCATCCTCCGACCTTGAATGGGAAGGGAAAGCCCTCCTCTTCCTCCTCATCCTCCTCCTTCTCATGTTGGACACCCCGCAAACCCCTTGCCAGGATTTCGTTGGTGTGGGGGGCACGGGCTGGAGAAGCATGCGAATGGAGGGAGAGGGGAGGGGTACCACGGGAGAGAAACACTCGCAGGTTGATAAACCTCCTACCCTGACACGTCGATTAAGGAATTTGCCGTTTTGGGCTCGCGAAAGGACGTCGCGGCCGTCATTTTTCCAGGTCCAGGTCCGTCGGTTTCGGTCCTGGGCCTCTGCCATCAAGGGGAGGTTTATTAAAGGGAGGGTTGTCCACTGCCGAAACAAACCCCGACCCCCGAAAAACAGTTTGCGCTTTGTGGGCAGTCCTGGGCGTTAAGTACGCCGTCTTGCCCTGTCCGATGCTTTCCAGGTGCGTTTCCTAAGGGGCTGCGCTGGAAGGGGTGTTCACCCCGAGTTGTGTCCCGGCCCTCCAGGGGTAGGCGGGGGATGGGGGGCGTGGCGCGGAGGTGCCTTCCCTCACGCTTGCACGCGGTTTCGCCGCGGGCAGGGCCAGAGAACGCGGAACCACGCGGGAGGTTGAAGGTAGAACACGGTAGGTTCGTGTCGTGACGACGGGCGGCGGCCCCGCCAGCTGCGTTCAACGTTGAACGCTGCGGGCGACCCGGAAGCGTTCGACGTGGAACGATTTTGACGTCTCCGAAACGGCCGATCCTTCAAGGTTGAACGGTCCACGCGGTGTGAGAAACCAACGCCGGGGTCGTCCAGACACGAACTTGCCGTATGCGCTCGTGTGGTGGGGCGGCGGGCGGGGAGGGGAGCAGGCGGCACCGCCTCACGACCCCCCAACGGTGAGAGGGGCTCGCGCCGCAGTGGCGGACTCCGATTCCTGGATGCGTGTCGGATCGTGCCGCGGGCCGCTCCTCTTTCACGGACGGCCCATCGTCGTGGCCTGGGTCAGCACTGGTAGTCGTGTATGGAAAGGTTGTCATTCTTGTATGCGGGGTGTATGCGTATGTTTGGATGCATATCTCGACCTCTGAATGTATTTATTTGAAGGTATAAGAATTATATATATGTGTCTCTCTCTATATATATACATACAAATAGAAAATACGGGCTGGAGGGGAGTGAAGGCCGTTCGCCTCCAACCCGTTCCACCGCAAGCCCTCGCCCCCGCGCGCGAACGACGCGGAGAGGGCGCCCCATTTGCCGCGCCGACGGGAGCGGCGGGCTCACGGCCTCTCTTCGCATCGGGGGATCTGCACAAACGGAGTCCGTCGGCGGTCCGCGCGGATTTCTTGGACCTCGGAGAGGGAAAGGCGCTCATACCGTTGGCCTTTCCCTTGTTTCTGCCTTTCTCGGAGGCTCTCGACGCCCATTGCTCGATTCGCCCCGACATCCTGGTCAGAGCGCACCGCGGAGAAGGCCCGGGGAGTGCTGGTATCGGTACCGATGCTTTCCCCAAGGCTTGTCGGCGGTCTGAGTGGAATGCTTGGATCAGCGCTGGACTTCCCTGGCGGCGCCGCCCATGGCGTGCTCTGCGCGCCAGGGAGAGGGGGGGGGTCCAGCGCCGATCCAGGAAATCCGCGCGAACCTCCGAATGTATGAAGTCATGCTGGTTGTTCCTCTTCTTCCGATGTCGGAGTGTGACACCCGTTGTACAGGCGATCGCAAAGATTGATCACGGGGGCGTGGATCAGCGACGGGTCCCGTTTCCATAAGAAATCGCGGATTTTCGCCGCCGAACGAGGCGGCACCGGCCGCATTTTGTGGAGGCCCCTGATCCATGGGTTTGGCGACCGCGCGCCAAATCCATGGATCGCTAATCCATGTTTGCGCGCCCCCGAGAAAGTATTAATTGATGCTGCTTGTTCCTCGTCTACTGGTGCTGGAGTGGGACACCCGTTGTCGGCATCACGTCGGCGGGTGGTGTTCTCTGAGCATGTTCTGGTAGGTATGGGGAAGGTACAGGTGGACCCCGCCATGTTCGGTCATTCTCGCGGTCAGCGGATTACTTGCTGGGAATTATTTGCATTGGGTGAAAACACAGCCATCAGCTTGAGCGTGCTGACCATCTGCTTTCATTTAGGATCGATGCGTCCAGAGCTTGCAGAGGGCGTCCCGCGACCAGAAGAGGAAGTTGAGTTGCGGAGGCGAGACGACGGATTGAGGCGTCTCTGATTTGATCGAGGCGCATGTGTTGGACCGTCTGACGTTTGCGGGGAGGCCCAAGTAGGTCAAGCGAGATGTTCCATTCGAGCACTGGGTGATGTCATCGCTGTCAGAGTAGCTCCCTCTCCCCGCAACTTTGGTGACGACTGGTCACCCCAGTGAGTTCAAACGCGCATCATATGTACGCTCTGTCTCCTCTCCCTCACTCTCTCTCTCTCTCTCCTTTTCGCCCTCCACGACCTCGCTCTCTCTCGCTCTCTCTGTCACTCTCTCTCTCTCTCGCTCTCTCTGTCCGTGTCTCTCTCTCTCTCTCTTTGTCTCTCTTTTTTCTCTCCCACTCTCTCTCTCTCTCTCTCTCTCTCTCTCTCTCTCTCCGTCTCTCCCCCCCCTTCTGTCAGTCGCTCTTTCTCTCTCTCTCTTTCTCTCTCTCTATCCCTCTCCCTTTCTCTCTCACCCCTCTTTCTCTCCTCTCTCTATCTTTCTCTCCCTCGCTCTCTCTCTCCTTCTGTATATTGCTCTGCCCCTCTCTACATAACTGTCGCCCTACCTCCCTGGATTTCTATACCTATATCTCTCCGTCTCTCTGCCTCTCTCGTTCGCTTGCTCTCCCTCTCTCTCTCTCTCTCTCTCTCTCTCTCCCCCCCCCTATTTTTTATGTGTGTTCCTCTCTCTCTCTCTCGCTCTCTCTCTCTCTCTTTCGATATGTACGTCCCTGTCTCTTTCTATCTCTCTCCCTGTATCTCGTGATCTCTCTGTTTTTCTTTCTCTCTCTCTCTCTATCCCTCTCCCTCTCGCTCACTCCTTCCAACTATCTCACACTCTCTCCAGCTGCCTGCGTCAAGTCCCTCCAACGTGCCAGCCCAACAGATTCGTTGACGTCTGCTCGAACCGAAGATAATGATAAAGGTGATGATTGTGATGGTGATGGTGGTGATAAGGATGCTGAGCATTGTGCTGATTATGATGGCGGCGGTAATGCTAGTGACGGACACGATGATGGTGACGGTAATACTAGTGACGGACACGATGACGGATGTTGATGATGGTGATGATGATGTTGGTGATGCTTGTGGTGGTGATGATGAGTTGAATATGATGGCCATGGTTTCGAGGAGAAGGGCGAGGGTGTGGATGACGAGGGGAGTTAGTATGATGACGATTGGTATTCTGATGATGCTGGTTTTGATGTTGGTGATGATAATGGTGATGGTACTGATGATGCTGATGATGGTGATGATGATGATGGTGATGGAGGCGATGCTGCTGAAGATGATGATGCTGATGCTGATGATGATGATGACGATGATGATGATGACGGGGTGATGATGCTGATGATGCGGATGACGACGATGAGAGATTGAGGATGATGATGATGATGAACGTGACAAGGATGACAGGAGGATGACCATTGTTAGGGAGGAGGTGGATGAATTCTTGACGTTTCGCGTATCCCCACCAGCCCATCCAGAAACGATGTCTAGGCAAGTTGAAGAGATCAGGGAAGTGGGGGAGCAACGAGAGGGACAGCCGATCCGTACAAAGGATGAGGCGGAACAGGAGGCCAGATGGATAGAAGTGGGGGTGGCGAGGAACCGAGCGAAGGAGGGATGAGGAGAATGATGACGCTGGGTGGATGGTTGAATGCCGCTCGGATGCCTCTTGGAAGCCTTTTGGAAGCCTCTTCGGGCGTCTTGGGGGTCTCTTGGCGGTCAATGGGGGCTCTTGGGCGTCTTGGGTGCTTCGGGGGGGCCTCTTGAGGCCTCTTGGGATCCTCTTGGGGGGCTCCTGGGGGCCTGTTGGAGGCCTCTTGGGGCCTCTTGGGGGTCTCTTGGAGCTTCATGGCGGCCTCTTGGAGCCTCTTGGAGGCCTCTTGGAACCATCCTGGGAGCCTCTTGGGGGCTTCTTGGGGCCTCATGGCGGTCTTGGAGGCCTCTTGGAAGCCTCTTGGGGCCTCCTGGGCGCCCTTTGGGGCCATCTTGGAAGCGATCGATCAAAGAAGGGGGTTCCCTCATTAACCCTGCCCCTCGGGAGCTCCCAACATAGCCGCCTGGACCCCTCTTGGGGCGCTCTTGGAGCGCTCTTGGGCGCTCTTGGGGCCGTCTTGGGGCCCTCTTGGGCCCCTCTTGGGGCCTCCTTGGCCCCTCTTGGAGCCATGTTGAGGCCTCAGATGGCCATCGGAAGCGAAAAGGCGAGAAGCCGAAAATCATTGGTTTTCCTTAGGTGTTTGAAGGATTTTGGCTTCTTGGGGGGCCTCCTTGGGGAGATACTTGGCCTCTTGGAGCTGTCTTAGAGCGTTCTGAGAGCGTCTTGGAGCATCTTCGGAGCCATCTTGCGGCATCTTAGGCTATCTTGAGCCATCTTGGAAGTCATCTTGGACTATCCGAGGCGCTCATGGAGCCATCCTGGGCCATCTTGGACACTCTGACTGCTCGCGACCGGGCCCGTCCAGGTCCAGGGGAGAGGGTTAGGGGGAGGGGCAAACCCCTCCCCGAAGGGGAAGAAGGGAAGATGGAAGAGGAAACTCCCTAAACCACCTACGCCCAGAGGGCTGGTGGGATTACATGATGGTAATGATTGTGCTAATGACGATGATGGTGGTGATGATTGTGATTATGATGCTTATGAGCGTGATTGTGATAAGTATGAGGAGGAGGAGGAGGAGGAGGACGACGACGACGAGCTGGAAAAGGAAAACGAGGAAGGCCGTCAAGCGTGAAATCTTCCTCTGCATTCATCGGGGAAGTGTCATAACACGTGATTGGGGCAGCAAGGTTGTCTTAGGCTCTTGTAGTGCAGTATGTAGCTCCCCTAGTGCCTTTATGAGCCATTTTGGGTCTTTATTGTATTGTGTACAGCGGCCGTTGGGGCAGTGCCCAAACCGTCAGAGGTGACACCACGGCCGTGTCGGGGCTATCCTGTATTGCCGTCAACCAATCATACAGCAGAAAAAACAGACAAGGAGCAATGTGGTGATGCGTATGGTGAGCAGTGGGAGTATGATTAGATGGGCGTGATGATGATAACGAGGATCGGAGGAGGAGAGGAAGGATGAGGATTGCGGCAGACCAGGGTGAGTGTTATGAAAATTGTTGTTGCACCATGGATATGAACTTGCAGGTTATCATGATGGTCATGGTGATGTTAATGATGTTGAGGAGGAGGAGAAGGAGCAGAAGGAGGAGGAAGAAGCATGCTGTCACATGTGTCACCTTCCGCCTTCCCTTCTTGAGGAGCTCTCATGGATCTCATTTAGGCCGTCTTTGGGGTGTCTTCGCCTCATCTGGGGTTCCGTCTTGGGGCCTTCTGTGACCGTCTTGTCCCCTCCTGTGCTGTATTGTGGCTCTCTTGGGCTGTCGAGCGGCCCATCTGAACTGACCTGGCGGCCGTACGCGTGGCCGCGATGCCAACAAGTTTGTGTGTGTGCGCGCGTGTAGCTGTCGATCGGGGCCTCTCCTGGTCGGCGGGTCGGGTCTCTGCTTTGCTTTCCCTGCTTTCCCTACCGCCGCCCTTCCGCGGGCTGCCTCCTCCCGCTTCTGCTCGGTGCAGCTCCAGTGCAGCGCAGTGCCGTCGCCGGTCTCTCCCCTCGGCGCCCTCGCTCGTGGCGCCCTTCGTGCCTGCCGGCCTTCCACCTCTCGACTGCCCCTTTCCTCGCAGGCCCGCAGCTCTCGGCGCACTGGCCCATCCTTGGACCGTGCTTTGGTTCGCTGGGCCGCTGCCCTGCTGCCCTGTGTTTCTCCATTGCCCGTTTCAGCTCAGTGCCGCTTCCCCCCCCCCCAGCCATCAGCTCAGCGCAGCTCAGTGCATCTCAGTGCTGGCGCTGGTCCCCCCCTCGGCGCTCCTCCTCCGTGCATTGCGGCCTTAATTTGCATACAGCGTGCCCCCTGTTGCCAATCCGCTGGAGCAGTCGCCCTCTGCCCAGCCGCCGACGCAAAAACAAAATGTGCGTGTGTGTGTGTGTGTGCGTGCGTGTGTGTGTGTTTTGTGAGTGTGTGTGATGTGTGCGTGTGTGTGTGTGTGTGTGTGTGTGTGTGTGTGTGTGTGTGTGTGTGTGTGTGTGTGTGTGTGTGTGTGTGTGTGTGTGTGTGTGTGTGTGTGTGTGTGTGTGTGTGTGTGTGTGTGTGTGTGTGTGTGTGTGTGTGTGTCCGCGCGCGTGTGCGCGTGCGTTTTTGCATGTGTGTGTGCGTCTGTGTGTTTGTGTGTGTGCGTGCGTGTGTGCGCGTGTGTGTGTGTGTGTGTGTGTGTGTGAGAGTGTGTGTGTGCGTGCCGTGTGCGTTCGTGCGTGCATGCGTGCGTGCATGCGTGCGTGCGCGCGTGCTTGCGATGTAGGACGTCGTGGGGCCGTTTTGTCACCGTCATCGGCCGTCGAATGTCCTCCTAAGCCCGTTTTGAGTCATTCCGGAGGTCCTCTTGGTTCTTTTGGGATGCCTCTTGGGCCATCGGGGGGTCCTGGGGCGGGACCTCTCTTGGGGGCCGGCTGTGCCGTTATAGGGCCATGTTGGAGGCCTCTCGGGCCGCCTTGGGCTGACGGAAGCCCGATCCAGTTGCGTTTTATGGTGTTCCCTGGAGGCTTCCGCAGTCAACCCACAAAGTAATTATGGGCAACCTTCCCAAGGGTACCCTTGCATCCCTGCCTCCTCGGTCCATCCTTCGCTTCTTTCGCTGGCGGCGCCCCGCTCGCAAGTGGCGGCATGGTTTTTTTAAGGCCGTTGCATCCTTATCGTGCGTCCTCATGATACGGGGTGTCTGTAGTGGGCCACCTTCGAAGCATCATGGGCCATTGTGTTGCTTTGGTTGCCCGCCTGGGCCGTCTTGGAAGCTTTGGACGCGGACGCGTGGTTCTTTCTTATAATGGAAGAACGAAGAAACGCCATAAGCATAAACTTTCGGCGCTCCGCGCGGATTTCTTGGATTTGTGCTGGCGGCGCCCCTGCCCGGCGCGCGGAGCGCGCCAGTGGCGCGGCGCCGGAGGCGCCGCCGGAGAGGCCAGCGCGGATCCAAGAAGACCGCGCGGAGCGCCAAAAGGTTATGTGTATGGCGTTCTGTCTCTCTCGATTTGAAGGAGGGCGCGTGGCCTCGGGAGCACGGGATCCGTCGATCTCTGCGGGGCATTCTTGGCCTCGGGAGCCGAGGCGAGGCAGGCAGAGCGGAGTGCTGCCAGGGAGGTGGTCGGTCAGTTGTTTTACACTGCAGAAGCCCTACCAGAGAGTATCCACCCGTCGTTGACAGTAGGTATTTTTGGATTCCCAGATTCCAATCTACATTCTCGACTAGCCTCACCTTCTCCGTCCTCCTGGAGGAGCGGGCCGACACCCAATAGATGCTCAACTACTTCATGCTTCTACTTATCTGTTCCGACCGATGGGTACTGTGCTTTGGACCACCCCTTCACGTGCCAGGCATGGGGCACTGAGGGGGGATATCTGTTTCTTCTCGTTCCGCATAAGGCATCTTCACACCACCTCATCTGGCAGCGGACATCCTGGGCTCCTAGGATGGTGAAATAGATTCTCCTGGCCCCAGCAATCCTGGGCGTGCACGCCATGCCAGGACCAGGGATTAACCCAGCTAGGCGCGGCAGTGGTGTAAGTAGATGCCCTTTGGGCCTCCCTTTCCCCAGACCACCGACGTCGTGTTTTTTTTCGCAACGTCGACCCCCAGAGGTCTGGATCCCGTCCCCGCCACTGGTTTTTCATCCCGAGCCGTTTTCTAACGGCCTCGCGGCCCGGCGAGGCCCCCCGGAGGCCGAAACTGGCGATACGAAACCTCCACTCGTGATTTTTTCTGCTCCAGGACGCGAGGGGGAGCTCTGGCTCTCTGCCTCTCTCTCTCTCTCTCTCTCCCTCTCTCTCTCTCTCCCTCTCCCTCTCTCTCTCTCTCTTTTTCTCTCTCTCTCTCTCTCTCTCTCTAGAAAAACTCTCCTCTCTCAGCGGGCGCCTCTCTCTAGAAACTCTCTCCCTCTCTCTCTCTCTCTCTCCCTCTCTCTCTCTCTCTCTCTAGAAACTCCCTCTCTCTCTTTCTCTCTCTCTCTCTCTCTCTCCCTCTCTCTCTAGCAAAACTCTCCCTCTCTCAGCGGGAGCACGCGCCCCCGGCGGTGGACGACCAGCTCTCGAGGCCCATCCTCGGTGACCACGCGCGGCCTCCCGGCGCACCGCCCGGGCCGCCGCCCGGGCCGCCGCCCGGGCCGCCGCCGGGGCCGCCGCCGGGGCCGCCCGCGGGCTCGCCCCTGCCGGGCCCGCCGCCCGGCGCCCCGCCGCCCGCCGCCGGCTGGGCTCCAGGCGCCCCAGACATTCTAGCCTTAAGTCGGGCCTGTCCCCTTACAGGGGGATTGTCGACGAAAAATTTAAACAGTACCACAAAAATAATCAAAAAACAATCCAAAAATAGCATGGGGACTATTATTTGAGTATGTTTGGACCTTCTTGGGGTATTTTTGGGGTTTAATTTTTCACCGAAAATCCCCCTGTAGGGGGACACGCCCGACATAAACCCAGACCCCAATCGAGTTTGGAAAAAATCACGATGGGGATTGCTCATCATTTTCGGCCTTCTGGGGGCCCTTACCGGCCCCCAGGAGGCCGTCAAACAATGACTCGGGAGGGTCTGGAGTTCTGGGGATCGCGTCATGAAAGAATCATGACGTCGGTGGCCTGGGCAGATGGGGTCGGAGGATCGCGCCGCATGGCCGATGTATCGCCGATGCGGCTCGATGCGGGGCCCGATCTACTTCACGTCGACATCGCCGATGCATCGCCTACGTCGACGATGCGGTGGCGATGCTGTGTGATCCTCCGACCCCGTCTACAGCGATCCCATCTAGGAGGCCTCTAGAAACGGAGATCGGGACCCAGACCCCCTCGCGTCGCGGAGGTCTTTCACTATGTTGTCGGCCTGCGGGGGCCCTTCTATCTGGGGACCCAGACCCCCTCGCGTCGTGAACAAACATTGCGACGGGAGGTCTGTCGCTCTTTTCGGCCTCGGGGGCCCTTACGGGGCCTCTCAAAAAACGAATCGGAATGAAAAAACCGGTCTCGGGGGAAGGGGTCCAGATCTTTGAGGTCGACGTTGCGATACGAAAACGACGTCGGGGGTCTTGGAACGGGGATCGGGAGGGGGGGGGGGCCGGGAGGAAGCCCAAGGGACCCCCACCCGCAGCGTTAGGCAGACCCGCGGGATGCCTTCGTCGATGAAGGGTATACCCCTAAGATTGTCAACGCCTTGGGCTTGTCAACCTCTGGGCTGACTGAGCTCTCGAGGCCCCTCCCTCCTCGATACAGAAAAACACCATAAACAAAAACGACAACAACAACAATAACAACAACAACAATCATTTTAAGACTGTTCGCTCTTATCTGGTCGCGTGTCATTCAATATGCATATCCCAAACCCAGGATACCCGCCCTCTTCGTCTTCGATCGTACGCCCTTTTGGGGGGTATATTCATTCCCTGCCACGTGTGGTTGGTGAAGCCCTTGAAATCGAAACGAAGGGCATTCTTCTATGGGGCCACAAAGGGCGACAGCGGGGCCACTGAGGGCAGCAAAGGTGCCACGAAGGGCAGCGAGAGGGCCACGAAGGGCGACAGCGGGAATACGAAGGGCATGCGTATGGGGCCACGACGGGCGACTGCGAGCGGGGGCCACGAAGGGCAGATAATGCGGGGCCACAATGGGCAGCGACGCGGCCACTGAGGGCAGCAACGGGGAGGGCAGCGAGCGAAGGCAACCGCGGAACCAGCACGGGCAGCGAGGGGCATCAAAGGCAGCGAAGGGCAGCGAGCGGCGACTGCAGTCCCTAACGGGCTGGTCGGGCGGGCAGGCCCAGACGGGCGGGTCGAGCGGACGGGTCGTTGAAGCGTAAATTCTGCGTGAACCGTCAGGCAATATGTAGCGGGAGCGCCATTCCTGAGTGTCGAGGAGCGGCATCTGAATAAATTGTAAGGAAGTATCAGGCGTGAGCCGCGATTCGTTGGTAAGTTGCGAGGAAGTCCCAAGCGAGAGCGCGATTCTGCAATACATTGCAAGGAAGTGTCAAGCGGGAGCCGCGATCCGGTGGTAAATCGTAAGGAAGTCCAAAGCGAGAGCGCGATTCTTCAAGAAATTGTGAGGAAGTATCAGGCTGGGGCCGACGACACAGTTTGACCCTTAAGACTTTCCCTGGTAAAAAAAACAAGGTGCGAGCCCCAGGAAGGGCACTTCAATCGAAAAAACACTGTGCACCGGACGGGGGGGTCAACAATGATTTTTTCAGACATGAGAATTCAACAACAACAACATCAACAACAACAATATAACAAACCAACAACAATCACAACAACCACAGCAACGAAAACAACAACCACAACAACAACTACAACAACAACAATCATTCCAAGACTGTTCGCTCCTACCAGCCCGCGTGTCAGTTTTATGCATATTCCAAGCCCTGGATACTTGCCCTCTTCGTCTTCGATCGTACCCCCTTTTGGGGTGTTACATTCCTTCCTGACCACGTGTAATTGGAGAAGCCCCTAAACATTTAATTGAAAGGGGGAAGACAAAAAGAGAGGACGAAGGGATCGGAGGAAGGGAGGGATTAGAGGGACAAGAAGGAGGTACGACGATGATTTGTGCCGTGAGTTGCGATTCAGCTTGCGCCATGGCTTGCGCCAGCCATTCCAACACAGGAGAGCGCAATTCTTGAGAAGGGGATGTCTGGCGGGAGCGGGGGTCTAGACATAAGCGCAAGGAAATCTTAAGCGGGAGCCCCCTTCTTAAGTAAATTGGGCGGAAGCCTCAGACGGGAGGGGGGGGCCTGACTACATTGCGAGGAAGTCACAGGCGGGAGCGCCGATCCTGAGTAAATTGGTAGGAAGCCTCACGCGGGAGCGGGGGTCCTGAGTAAAGTTGGAGGACGTCTCAGGCGGGAGCCGTTGTTGTTGTAGTCCGGGGGAGCAACAACGCAGTTTGACCCAGACTAAAATGTGAGGAAGTCTCAAGCGGGAGCGCCGCTCTTGAGTAAATTGGGAGGAAGTCTCAGACGGGAGGGGGGGTCCCGAGTAAATTTGGAGGAAGTCTCGGGCGGTAGCCGTTGTTGTTGTAGTCCGGGGGGCCGGGGGCACAGTTTGACCACGAAGAATTTCCCTGTTCAAAAACAGGGTGCGACCGTCAAGTGGCAGACTTTGACGGAGAAAAAACAATCTGCACCGGTGATGGGGGGATCAACAATAATTATTCTTCAGAGATGAAATTTCAACATAAGCATAGACTGTCGACGGTCCGTTCGGATTTCTTGGATCGGCGCTGGGCCCCTCTGGTGGCGCCTCCAGCGCCGCCCCTGGCGCGCGGCGCGCTCCGCGTGCCGGGGGGGGGGGGGCTCAGCGCCGATCCAAGAAATCCGCGAGGAGCTCCAACAGTTTACCCGTCGGTCGTTGGCAGCAGGTCTTTTTGGGCTCTCAGCTCCCACTGTACTTCAAGCGCCTTTCTATTCCAAGAATCGATATGCTTTTTGCTACGTCGTGTCATTCTCTGGGAGGGCCCGAGCCCAAACTACTTCACAGCCGGACCGAGGTATCAGATCGAGGTCAGTTCAGAAAGGGTATTATATCTTGTCCTGCGCGTTTGTTGGATGTTCTTATGCACTTGCGCACCCTGGGGAGGGTACCCTTGGATGCTCTGTCTGTTTTGGCCGACCGAGGGTCTATTGTTCTTGGAGGATGTACTTCATGTTTCTCGTGGCGCCAAAATCGCAGAGCGGAGTTCGTTCGGAAAACAATGTAGTGGGCCCTGATTGTCCTGGAGAATTTCGTTCTGGAGTTCGACGTGAGTTTCGGGCGGATTTTTGTTTGCCGGGAATGATCGGGGGTGGACAGACCTCCTACCCTGACACGTCGATTAGTGAATTGTCCGTTTTCGGTTCTCGAGAGGGCGTCGCGGCCGTCATTTTCCAGGCTTTCGCCTGCCAGGTTTGTGCCCGAGGTCGTTTTCACTAAACCACGTTTTCCTAAAGGGAGGTCTGTCCATCCCCGGAATGAAGACTCCAAAACACCCACGCGAAGTTCGTTTCGTTTGTCGCTCGCCGCCTCGGGGTTTACCATTGCGAGAGATCCATGCACAAATCCGCTGCAGCACGTCTGCAAGGTCGACGCAGTGACGTTTCTTACCCGCTTCTTTCCGACCGGCGACTATGCTTATTCAGGAGGGGAAGAAACACACAGACACAATGCATCGTCGATTCCCAGGAACATATGGGAAACTATGGGAAGTGGGGGAGGGAAGACGCAGTGATGTTTCTTACTCGCTTCTTCCGACCGGCGACTATGCTTATTCAGGAGGGGAAGAAACACACAGACACAGCTAATCGTCGACTCCCAGGAAAATATGGGAAACTATGGGAAGTGGGGGGGGACGACGAAAGCCCAGAAAGTATGGGAAACAATTTAGGAATCCTGGGATCTGTGTCTATTTCTTTGTGCGTCCTTGGGCCCCTTCACCTATGCCGTCTCTGAGCGTCTACAGTCAACGCGCATAGTGAGGACAAACGGCTTGTTCAAGGGTACCCTTGCGTCCTTGCGATGTTTTTGCTTTGGGACCCTTGGATGCTCTGTCTGGTTTGGCCGACCGAGGGGCTATTGTTCTTGGAGGATGTTCTTCAGGTCCGACTGTATCCGCCTTCCTACTTCTTGTTCCTCATGGCGCCAAAATCGCAGAGCGGAGTTCGTTCGGAAAACAATGTAGTGGGCCCTGATTGGCCTGGAGAATTTCGTTCTGGAGTTCGACGTGAGTTTCGGGCGGATTTGTTTTTGCCGGGAATGATCGGGGGTGGACAGACCTTCTACCCTGACACGTCGATTAGTGAATTGTCCGTTTTCGGTTCACGAGAGGGCGCCGCGGCCGTCATTTTCCAGGCTTGCGCCCGCCAGTTTTGGGCCTCAGGTCGTTTTCACTAAACCACGTTTTACTAAAGGGGGGTCTGTCCATCCCCGATTTTTGCCAGGAGTGAAGACTCCCAAGCATCCACACGAAGTTCACGTCGTTTGTCGCTCGCCGCCTCGGGGTTTAACATTGCGAGGGATCCATGCAACAATCTGTTGCAGCACGTCTGCAGGGTCGACGCAGTGATGTTCCTTACCCGCTTCTTGCGACCGGCGACTATGCTTATTCAGGAGGGGAAGAAACACG